TATATATATATATGTATATTTTACTCTATAGTTCATTTTTTCTCCGTGTTTAAGAAAAAATTATGAAAAAGAGTAAAATATATAATAACATAAACTTATCTTGTGAGAATGGTATGAACTGGTGGTGACTGGGCACACAGAGCATTAAATTTTAATTTCTTTTAGTTTTCTTTTTTTTGACAAGAAGAGCATAAAAAAAGATTTTGGAATTTGAAAATGGTTGATGAAATTAGGAACAGGAACGTGGGTTAGTTTCATTTTGATTGAGTGGCAGTCTGCGCTTGACTCCTTGTGCTGTGTGTGTTGTGTCTAGGAAACAACAACACACTACATTTTCCATTTCCATTCTTTTCTATTTCCTTTCCACACTCACTGTCTCTTCTTCTTCTTCTTCTTCCACTATTCATTCTTCTCCTTCTCCTTAGGGTTCCGATGCCCCACCAATGGATACGGTGAACCATCACCGGGAAGACCCACCGCCGCTTCCCATGCACCTCGACACCTTCCATCACGCCAACGCTTCCGACGAAGGGGAACAACCTGCTCCACTCGCCATTGCTTCTTCTGCTCCGCACGCCCGCACCAGTGAACTCACCATTTCCTTCGAAGGCGAGGTCTATGTTTTCCCAGCTGTTACGCCCGATAAGGTTCCCTTTCTCTTTTCATTCTTTTTTTTTTTCAATTGAAAAAATCATTTTTTTCCTCGGTTGTTATGGAGGCACCACATGCTGTCAGATGTGGATTTGTTTGTTATTCATGTAATCATATTTTTATGTTTAATTAAAGGATTAAAAATATTGGCAAGTCGTCGCAGAAAGTGTAGGTTACCCAAGCAGTGATTTTTTTTTTCTTTTCTAGAGTTGTATATGTCACTATTGATGTGAGGTTTTTGCGGAGGAAAGTAAGTCAAGGGGCTTCTCAATTACTAGGAATGTGCCTTTCTTCCTTTTCTAGGTTTTCAATGACCCTTTCATTGGTTTTGATTGCTTGATTATGATATGATGGTGAATATCTGATATCTCATGATATTTTCAAATTTTTGTATGAATTTTCTATTAAATATTTATTTTTGTTTAATGAAAATGCCCTACTTGTGCATATTTGCTCAATTTCTATAAAATGATTGGATATTTTTTGGGTTGGATGATCATTTTCTTCTGAAATACAGGTCCAGGCTGTATTATTACTCTTGGGGGGGCAGGAGATGCAAAATAACGGCCCTGCTTCTGACATTTTGTTGCAGCAAAACTGTCAGGACATTAGGGTATTTCTTTAGGAATTGCTTTTCTCTTTGATATATTTTATGACTAATTTTTTGACATTATTAAGTGTTCTAAAATTTGTTTTTACATGCCAGGGAATAAATGATCCCTCCCGAAACTCGAAGCTTTCACGAAGATTTGCATCACTTGTTAGGTTTCGTGAAAAACGAAAAGAGAGATGTTTCGAGAAAAAAATCCGGTATTCTTGCCGTAAAGAGGTTGCCCAGAGGTAGGGTGAGAATTGCTGTACAAACATTTATATATTATTGGAAAATAAATAAACGCATATATGTTACAGTGAAGTATTCTCCCCTCCCCTGAGAAATGCTTAAATTATATTTCAATGTCCTCTTATTTTAAAAAATACACTTGTCTCTTCTAAGAGATTTATGTGTGCCAATATTTCTAATTTTTTACTCTCAACATTAGTGGCAACTAATTTTGAAGTCCCTATTATTGACTTTGGGACTTCAAGATTAAATACAGATTTCAAACGAAGTTCCAAAGCCAATAATGTGAGTATTGAAAACAACATTTCATTCATCAAGTCCTAAAATTAATAATACAATGCATAAATTTAGCTTTTGATGACCTGAGAAATTGAAGAATATACCCTTTGGAAGTTTATTTAATTAATAATGATGTTTTTATTTTAGTGCTGTGTCTCTGTGCCTTGCAAAGCATTAGAATATCCTGGCTTTCAAAATAAGAGTTGAAGTTTTTACTTTTGATTTGACATGTAGGCTTGTTTTCTTGAGGTTGACAATATTTGGTTTTCTAATAGGATGCATCGAAAGAATGGACAGTTTGCGTCATTAAAGGAAGACTACAAATCTCCTACTGAAAACTGGGATTCAAGCAATGGTACTCCTTGCCCAGAATCTATGTGAGTTTTAAAAGTTATATCTTCTGTTTGAAACTCAGATTCAATAATTGATGTTCTTAATATTTTACATGTTCATGCTAATACGGTTATTGTTGTGTTACACCTCTGCCATTGTTAAGTGAACGTAGATGCCAGCATTGTGGAATTAGTGAGAAGTCTACTCCAGCTATGCGTCGAGGACCAGCAGGTCCAAGATCTCTGTGCAATGCCTGTGGGCTTATGTGGGCAAATAAGGTAATTAATATCTGTTTAGCTTATTATGTAACTGTATTTCTTGTTACTGATTTTTGCTAGTCTTACTTAGTGATTTGTTGCTTATTTCTTTACATTCCATATGGGATAATCAATTGAGTGGGTCGTTAAGGTCATAACTCATAATAAATACTATAGAAATATGCTGTACCATAGTAAAAAAGTAAAATGGCTGGAAACTGAAGAGATACTACATGTTGGCATCACTGACAAGTGATAGACATTTATAAATTTATGATTTAAAAACTGGGTTTTTGTGTCAACTTGAAGAATATTATTTTTACATGCATTGTCATTCTGTTTCAACCAGAAGAATAACAATGTTCTGTCTATTCAATATCTTATCTATTGCCGTTATCAATTCATTGTTATTGTAGTCTTGAAATTGTGTGAAAGGTAATTATTTTGCATGTCTGAATTGTTGTGGCCATGCAAGTATAGTTTATTACCAATTACCAACTGAACAATTTCATGTTTCTTTCTTGCTTAAAGTGACTTGGGTAATCTTATAGTATCCAATTACTGATATTCATTTTCATGTCTCATCGATTTGAAGGGAACTCTGAGAGATCTCAGCAAAGCAGGAAGGGTTGCTTTTGAACAAAATGAACTGGTATTTTTTATTTTTTATATTGTCGTTGGACAATTTCTTGTCTTCCATTGTCATACTTTCTCCTATATTAAATAACAAAGAATAAAATATGTTGTCTTCCTGCATTACATCTAAAGAATAAAAGAATAAGCAAATTCTGCCAAGACATGTCTCCATCTACAAGATTCAAGTCTGAAACTTTCCTCAAGGGATTTGAGTTTAGTTCCACTTGGACCAACAACTTGTTGGTAAAGGAGGCTTGATTTATACATACAAATAAAAATCAAGTATTTTATTATTAGTGGTTGCACTGTATAATATTTAAGCTTAGAAATATAGAACCATTCTTATTATGTTACAACTGGTTTGAGAAATAATTGTTGATGAAATATGACTAGAGAGGTGTGTTAGGAGATGACAACATGAAAAACTTTATTCTGTAATTTTGCTCTTAGTGGTTTCCAATTTGAAATTTCTGACTTGATCTTTGCTCAACAGAAGATGTTTGGAATTTCACATCTAATAATATTCTCTTATTATAAGGATACTTCAGCTGATATAAAGCCTTCAACAACAGAAGCAGAACATTCTTGTGCTAACCCGGACAAGGAGGTATTTTTGTTGGAATTTTCTTTTATCAAATTGACAAAAACTTTATTTTGTTGATGTTGTAACTGTTTCTTTAACTTCTTGTTTTCTTGTCTCATTAGTGGTCTCCTTTGTTTACCAAACTTCGTCAAAGGGTTATAAAAGAGCATGAAAACTCTTCAAATTATTTCACTATATTGTTTGCCCAGGGTCCATACGAATCAAATGCTTGGTTTTTTAAATCTGCGCTTGCTGGTGCTGATTATTTTTCAAATTTTTTAGTACTATTTTCATGATGGAACACTTATCCTAATGCTGCACTGTTCCAATTGCTGTGAATTTGTATTTTTTTATTTATTTATCAGGGAAGTCCTGAGGAAACTAAGCCTGTACAAATGGATTCCAGACAGTCACCTGAGAAGACAAATGGGCAGGTTTTATCTATTTATTTGTTTGTTTGTGTAAGCTATGATGAGGAAATTTGTCTTGATTATGCAATTTACTATCGTTGAAAAGTTAATTGAAATATGCAAAAATTGACAATTTGATTATGTTGAACTCAACCACATTTTGCAATGGTTTGTAAAACCTTCTATTAAAGGTTCGATTAGTTTTTAAAAATTAATTAAATGGAGCAGATACACGGATGAGCATATCTGAGTCTCATAAATAGTATATACAGAAATAATTTTTTCCTTACATTGAATTTCCTCCCAGAGATGCTATTCAATAAATTTCCTTAAAAAGTTTGTGTAATCTGGAGATCTGAATTTTTAATTAGAGCTCAGCTACTGAAAATTAGATAAATTGAATGAATGTTGAAGGAAGAATATATATATTACTAGCTCATGGATGCATGGCACACAAACAATATTTGTGGGATAGACAGACATAGTTCCATTTTACAAATAGAGATTAAATCATGTTACCGAGCCTGGGATAAGGATAGTTTTATGACTTTTATTTATGGTCCTTTGCTGAGCTTTGTAGTTTGTGACTTTTTGATTTGGGAACCTGCGATTTTATACTTGTATTTCAAGAATGTACCTTAAAAGCTTATCTAATTTTGAATATTATTTTCTTCAATTAAATTTTCTGATTTACAGTTTATTATCGGAACTGATGAATCAGTTACTGACAACTTGTCCATCCAAGTGGAGAATCAGGCTCTTAATCTGCATGAGCAGGTATTCCTTTTGCTTCCCTTTAATCAACTATCAGGTATCCTTTGAGATGAAAAAGTCATGAAAAGGGTTGAGATGACACGACCTTGTTTGACAATTGGCATGATATACTTTTGAGATTTACAGGACACTCTTGAGGATCTTGCTGATGCTTCTGGGACCGAATTTGAGATTCCTGCTGGTTTTGATGACCAGG